CCACACACACACACACACAATAGAAAATATTTAAATAATAATAAAACACCAGTCAGGTCAATAACAGCGTAAGAATTCTTTTCCAAGTATGATGCAAGAATTTTGAAAATAACCGGGTTATTCATTTACTATATATACTATTTTATCTTATATTTTTTTTAATTTTTTTTTGGTTAGGATAGGTGACACTGACAACATGAAAATAATTTGCTACGACCTTTAAAAATTCCTTTCGACACGTTTACCAGTATATTAATCAAAGAGAAGGCATATTAATGGACTTATTCTTTTATACTAATTAAAATTTAAAAAGAAATTATCGTTCTGATGTCATATCATGTGTTTAAATGTTTCCCTATTGACTTAGGATTTTAAAATTAAAATCTAAATAATGACAGTTTCCAAAGTTGGAGGTTGATAAAAACTATGGTCGCCGTCGGAATCTCGCAGGGAAATATGTTATTTCTTTGTGTGATATGAAGGTCAATGTTTTTTAATATGTTCATTTTAGTGCCTTAATGTTTGTTGTTACTACCGGAATTGTCAATGCGAGGACGTGACATTACCTAGATTCGACTTAGATTTACATGACGAGTGTCATCGAAAAAGCTGAAGACGCTTACCGTTCAGGAACTCCTGGTCTAATTCTCCTTGTACGTTTTCAAAGGTCGCCATTTAAATCTTTCCTTTGTTCATATTTTACCCTAGTTTAATTGATTTTGAGTTCGTATAAATAGCTTTCGCAACCAATAAGACATATATGAGCAGATGTATGTTACAAATGCGCCGAAAATTATTGTTTTGAGTTTGTTTTTGTAAAATAATGTTACATTTGTGAAAATGAAAATGAAAATGTCAGTACGTAAGCAGCTTTTAGTATTTATGATATTGTTTTCGGTTTTGTAATTGACCAAATTAAGAATAGCAACAGCAATCACAGACAACACACTATTATGGTTTCAGTCAAACTAAGAAGGTCAAAGGCAGAAATTTGCACACGACATTTTGTCGGTAACCTCTATTGAACATGTTTTCATCACTAAGTGAAATACACATTCAGCCTCCAGATACCAGGGTTGTGTTGAAGATGTTGAAGATACATTCAAGGTTGTTACGTTTCTAGGCTGATGTGATAAGCATTGTTTACAGGGTATACACTAGTTCCTCCAATTGACCAGCTAATGACCTTTAACTGGAAGAAATATGCCTATGATCAACGCAAACACCAAAGTGAAGGCATACAAAAGACGTAGTTCCTCATATTATTATAGAAATAATTGTATGTTTCAGTATCTGTTATATATTCGATGTTTTATCCCATATTCCTATACAATATAAAGTGATTATCAGTATGAATAATAATGAAATGTTATGCTACTCACACATACTATATTTCCGTCTGCCTATACATATATTTATGAATGCTTCCTTAGTGATCGGGTTACTTTTCAGTATCAATAAAATAATTTACATTATTTTCTGTTTTTGTATATTAATAAAAGGTTAAAAAAAATCAAAACTGAGAATTATTTTTTACGGTTAATGCTCTATGTTAGAGTTATTAATTCTTTTTTTTTCTTCGTTTTTTTTTAATTTAACTAATGGATTGAAAGTATTGTCAACAGTAATGTAAAAAAATGCATTATGTGGTAACTTTTGATTAAAACGTTATATGAATGGATTTGACATTGACGTTTCAACGTTAAGTCGTCTTTTGACCCATTATATAAAATAGTAATAACCAAATTTTGCCAACCCTGCAGGTCGGGGTTTGAGAAAAGAATACACCAGTTTGTATCGTAATAGGCGACTAATGTGGTAACTAACCCCACCCCCACCCCACCCCGTCTACAGAATTGGGATTTGCTCATGTGCCCTCTAAAACAAAACTGACCAAAATAAATCTGCTGCACCCATTGCAACATTTGGAATCTTTATATTTCCTTCTATTTTTATCTACCTTTTTATTTCCTAACGCCTTACTTGGCAAAACCTCACTTTTGGCTTTAATGTTGAGCGTTCGCCCAGGTGAGAAAGGCAAGGGGTTTTGTCCCCAGGCCGTGACATTCCAAAGTCCTTAAAAAGGTAATTATTATTCCCCGTTTCACGTTCAGCATGAAGGGGATTGGCAACAACTGGTTCTAACGTTGTCAGTATAATGTGACCGGCTGAAACTGTGCTGGGTGCCTTCGACATGCTATTACAGTGAGATAGCACTCTAAAGTGGGCATCAGATCCGCGCTATCACAGGGAGGCAATTACACAAACATACCCTGTCTCAGGCACACATACACACATGCACGCATACACAACACACAAAGAGACACGTCCTTAAATAAACTTAGCTGTTTATAGGGTGTTAAACTCAATAAAACCGAATCAAACAAATTAAGCAAAACTAGCGAAAAGAAAGGACTAACATACACAAGGAAATTCTACATATGACATTTAGGAAATGTCTGTCATTTGCTTTATAAGAAATAGCGATAACTAAACGAAATAGCGATAACTAAACTGTCAAATCCAAGATGGCTGCTTGATGAACATCTTATTTTTCTGATCAGCCATAAAAAGAAAAACAAACAACTATAGACCAAGGAGAAGTCTTTTTTTTTTTTTTGAAATATGACAAACGATTACTGAAGGACTAGCAGATTTGAACTGTCAAAACCCAAGATGATTGGCTGGCGGCTATCTTGTTTTTTTTCCCCTTTTCAGACTTAAAATGCTAATATTATGCAAACTATTATGATGATGGTGGGCTTAAGAAATAGTTAGAAAGTTGATAACTGAACTGTCATTTTTGTGCAACAGCTTTTGTACATTGCTCATGTGAAAGAAATATGGAATAAACTGTGTGCAGTAAGCAATTGATGCGTGTAAATAACCGAATAATTTATTAAAGCCAAATAAGAGAAGAACGCCTTATCACACCTTTAGATTATCATATGATATTGTGCATTGTCAGGTTTTGTTCTCCAAAGCCTTCGTGCCCTTATACAAGTCGCCTAAAAAAAGTATTACCTACAACTAAAACTTTTCTCTTTTTTTTTTCTTCTTTTTTCCGGTTTACAAATATGTGCAACATTCTAAAAACTGTCCGTTAAAATGTTATCCTGTATGCAATTACCTACCACCCATCCTGTTGCGGTAATTATTGTTCTGTTACAATGTTATATTTGTATCCAGCAGAGATCGCGTGAAAGTCGAATGATGCTCGAAATATGATCATTTCTAGGTAAATACGTTTGGAATTGAAACCGGCGCTACGGGTTACTAATACAAGCCATCGCCTGGAGTAGAACCAGATGTCTTTTAAACATGTTTATTCCAACAAAATGCTAAAAATATTTGATGCATTAAATACGTATCAGGATGAATAGTTTATTCATAAAATAGAGGGGTGGAGTTTAGGGTGGGGCACAGGTAATAGAAGAAAGAGCAGATGGCAGATAAATGTGGTATGGAGGGATATACATGTAAGTATTTACTTGAGATGTATTTTACGTTCACATTAAATGTTAGATAGGAATTGCTTTTCAGAAAATAAAAATTTTATGATAACATGTATTTTTGGCTGTAGATAGGTAGTCTAAGGCTTGTTAAATATGTGTTGATTTGTATTTAACGACTATTGTATAATATGAAGGTGATATATGGGGAGGAAGGGGTGTAGATAATGGCTACTGTACATGGTCGATAGGTATTTAATTAAGGCAGATGAGTATTTTAAAGAGGTAGCTAGCAATTTCACGACCACTGTACATGATAGATGGGTATTTTATGATGTAGATAAGTATTTTATGGGGTCAATAGATATTGCATTTGGTAAAATGTGTTTAATGAGGGTGTGTAAGTATTCTTTTAGGGTTTCATAGAAATTTTATGGGGACGGATAGTTATTTGATGGGAGGTAGATAGACATTTATGGTAGATAGATAGGAAGGGGTAGATTGGATACATTTATATTTACAACTGATAGATGTGTTATTGGAGTTAATTGGCATTTATGTCTACAAGTATTTTATGGGGGGAAATAGTTTTTTTTTAAATGAAGATACATAGTTTCAAGAGGGTAGATAGGTAACTTATTCCGATCAGTAGGAATTAAATTGTTAGATTAGTACTTACCTCCCACATCAATTACAATTACAAAAATTACAAAAATACTCATCTACCCCTTTTAATTCCTATCGGTCGGAGTAAATTACCTACCAATCCCCATAAAATTCTTACTGAACAATAATCTGCCCTCATAAATATTATCTACCTCCAAACAATATTTATTGATTCACTACAATAAAATACATATTTTACTCTAGGAAATACCTACCCCACCCTCCACCACCACTACCCGACCCCCCGTAATCATGTATCTGCCTTGTCTGACTTCTGCGTATGTCTAAAAATATATATTTAATCATAGACTCAAAACCTGTATGCCACCAATTGCGTAGAAGATAGCGTGTTGAGGACATAACTAAGGTTTTAACAATCTAATTAAGGAACGTTTATTCACACTGATGTTGTTATTTCAAGTTCAGTTAAACAGTTCGAGTGTAATCAAGATTGCCATTTGAAAAAGCAACCGCACAATGTTTTTTTAGAAACGTTGTTGAGTTATAAATTATAAAATTGCAATGAAAACATATTTCATAACATGACTAATTACAAAATTATTGTAAAATCCTATATTTTGTCAGAATCAATCTTCAGAACGATTTATACCTAAATAATGACTCTTCCTTAAAATAAGCGTATCCTACAGAAAAAAAATCTTCCTATGGTATTTGCCCACGCTTCCTATTAAGAAATATGTATATATATCTAAGGCAATACAATTAACATATAACATTTAAAAGCAGGCGTTCTTCTCTACATGAATGTATGTAATGAATAAAAGGTATATTCATTTTCTGATATCACTAAAAAATATATCAATGAATAGGAAAGTTTAAATAATAAAATTAGGTTTCATTTATGAATAAACAATGAATTATAAGATACATAATTATTATGCAATTTTTGTTGATCTGATGAACATTAATTTTGAGTAAATGGGCTCTCAGTATAGCATTAGATTTTAGATAACGTGTGTTGGTCACCTAGCAAAATCAGCCTCTAGGCTTACCTCAACAAAAATGTGACATCCTGTGTATTACCTGGACTGACATACAGGAATCTTGTGTAACATTCTAGATAATTTATATTGCGCTTGTGTTACGGGATACTAGTACATGTCTCGCTAGAAGTCGAACCAATTACTACAATCAACTAGCCCATACCTTTGGAAGGAGACAAACCCCGGTATTGCAGCTTACTAATGTCCACGTCTCCACCAGGAATACAACTATAGATGGTATCTTAATTATCAGCTTATCATATGTTTCTTTCTGATTTAGAATCACCCTGTATAACACCTGTATTAGTAGGCCGTTATGTATATATATCTAAGGCCATACAATCAATATATAAACATTTAAAAGCAGGCGTTCTTCTCTACATGAATATATATAATGAATAATAGGTGTATTCAATTTCTGATATCAATAAAATATATACAAATAAATAGGAAAGTTTAAATAATAATATATAATTTATGAATAAACAATGAATTATAAGAAAGATAACTATTGTGCAATTTTTGATGATCTGATGAACATTAATTCTGAGTAGTTGGGCTCTCAGTATAGCACTATATTTGGAGGCAGTCAAACCCCGGTATTGCAGCTTACTAATGTCCATGTCTCCACCAGGAATACAACTATCATATGTCATCATATTTCTTTCTTTTTTAGAATCACCCTGTATAACACCTGTATTAGTAGGCCGTTATATTGGCCACCAGGACGTAGGTTTGGATTCCACCCCTTGATGGATGTAGTTTAGTCCTTGAGTAAGGCATTTGATCCTTACTCATTCCTGTAACTCAAACAAAGCTGCCTGAATGGATACTCGTTTTGACTGGAGTGTGAATTATGGTGTGTGTGCTGTAGTATTCCAGTGGTATTAAATGTGACACAACTAAATATTATATTAAGGGATGCGAATACCATATGTAATCTCGAGTTACAAATGATTTACCAAAACAGAATACAAATGAATAACAGAAACGGAATATAAAAGTTTATACCATGATTTATTTTCATTAGTAGTGAATCAAACAAAGCTCCACGAAAAACATACAATAACTGAATAAAAAGGTAAATTAGTAATGATTACTCCATATTAAAGTCACCAGTTGATAGTTAAGAATGTCTTTCACAATCACAAATAAATTTATTTCAATAATTAGTTAAAATAAAAGCGTTTGTTACAAAGTTCCGCTAACAGTGTTACGGTCCATTAAATATAGTTTGTGGATTTTCTCATGATGTCACCGCTTACTGCTTACAGGTGCAATCAGGAGCACACTTGCAGGTGCTTGGTCCAGTACAGCCTGCATCGCACGAGCATGCCTCTGAAATGTCAGATATGGGCATGAATGTGTTCAGTATTTCCAGTATGACTTTTTGATTAATCTTTGATTTCATCTGCTAGACTTAAACAGCATATGTTTAACAAACAATACATAATAAAAATTACATATAGACATATGTATATATACGAGACGACTCTAATCAATGTCTACTCTAAATAAGGTTGCTACAGCTTCAATATTTGACATAACAATAGGGGACACTTCCATGGCTTACTCACTGTTATTCTATTATAAATAAAATGTCTTATATAAAATTTTCTATCTTTTTTAAAGATATATTCTTGCATAACTTGTTTTTGCCTATTTACAAAAAAATAGTTAAGATACTTACCAGATGCGCAGTTACACCTGCACTTTGGGCATGCACACTTCCCATCACACTGGCAGTCTGCGGTTCCGCAACATTGTCCTGATATGCATTCTACGGAACAGACGAAGTTGGTGCCTGACAGAAAAGACGTAACATTGAACAGAAGCACAAGGTAAGGTTTGATGTATGTATCACCCCTATCTCAGTCAGTTTAGTATTATCGTGTGTATATGTAATAAAGCAACGGTCAATGCAGAATGTATATACAAGTTTTCATATTTATTCCTGAACCGTACCAATGGAAATAGAATTAAACAGTCAAAGCTTCAACCCAATTTTCAACCAACAAACAAATGCACCTAACACAACCCTGACTACGACATTCTATCTAATCATTTAAAATAATTATCCGTCATTCATCAGCTTGGTCTTAAACAATCACGAACCTGCTTAAACAAGCAATACTGATTTAACCCCCTCCATCCTGCCCCTCCCCTTGCTTCCATCATATAATATCTCAATTATCAAAATTTGCCGCGCGTACTGCTTAACGAAAGCAGTTAGTAATGAATTTAGCTTACTGCACACACCTTTCAAGTAGTGCCTCTACTTTTAAAATAAATATCCATTATATTTCAAACAATCTAACATACTTCATAGTGGCGCTTCTACTTTTATTAACAGCAAGTATGAATGTTAAAACTGTCTCCAACCTATTATAGTTTAACAAGGTACTGACGGAAAATAGTTGCACAAAAAACAGATGACCATCGATCAATTTGTAGCCAAATATTGATACTAATTGAAATATAGACACCTTAAATATGTATCAAGCATGTTGGTTATAACTATTCTGTTTGGATACTGCGATGAAATAACAATGTGAAACACTCATTACCTCCACATTTGCATCCGGCCTTACAGTTAGAACACTGGCATGCATCACTGCACTTGCAACCGCATCCGCACGCGCGCCCTATCTGACAAATTCCGTCAGGACAGGTCGCATTCTTTGCCTCTTATTAAGAAAAATAACGTACATCATGAATATATTTCACTAAACGGTACATTCAATGATTGAAACCAAATAATTCGTTTTCCATTTCTGTGTTTATATGCTAGTGTAAGTTAGTATGATGATTGTAATACATTTATATGCGTTATCATTACATATAGGGTTACATTGAAAAGGAACTCAAACAATGCAGTACTTCACCCTTACAACATGGCAAACTCGGGCAAAGGATAAAATATATCTTGTAAGATGATTGATAATATTTATTCTGCTGCTAGCATTTCAATTTTAAACGTTTTAAACTGAATTGATGTCTTCGAGTTTGTTTAACAAATGACATTTACCGAAGCATGCGCAGTTGACCTTACATCCAGAGCATCTACAGTTGGTGTTACAGCAGGTCGCACCAGCACAGCCACAACTACCACTCGTACACTTGGCGCAGCATGATGCTGTAGGGTGTGGAAATCAATGCCAATATAATTCATCCGCTTGTTTTATGACAAGTTTTGTTTCTGTATTTGATTGCTAATAATACTAATTTTACAGAGGGAATTAAGCCTATTTAATCGATATCTAAAAATTCCATTGATCGATAACGCTAATTGGAAGTATATTCAATACTGAGATGAACAATCGTCTAAATCGGTTTTTTGTGTGTTTATTTTTACATTTACAAGCTGAAAGTAAATAGATCACATAAGCTCCAATATTCATGCATAACATGTTTAGACAACTAAAGATAAAGCACTTACCAGATGCGCAATCGCATCTGCACTTTGAGCATGCAGACTTGCAGTTGCAGGAGCAGGTCCTAGTTCCACAACATTTCCCTGACTGGCACTTCATGGAACACACGAGGTTTGCACCTGACACAAAGAAGATTAGAACTTAGAATTCTTGTTTTTTTGTAATGTAGCAAGGTTTCCTTGTGATACAAGCTGTAAGCACATTGTTTTCTTATCAATTTCTGATTTGTTTTTCAATTAAAAGGATTTGAAAAAAAAGGAATAAGGAAGAAAAAAAAAGCTGACAACATCGCAACGCACCTACCATCTAAAGGTAAATAAAATAATATCATAGAACACATAGTTTGAAAGTCTGACTCTAAAAAGGGACAGATGACTAAAAACCAATGTTAGCATATCACGTGGTGGGAATGAGTATACAAATTACTCTATATGACATGGAGTAGCTCACAACATCCCACACCAATCATCGATACTGAACCAGCTAAAGCAAGTGGTTATGATTCAATCTACCAACACACTTCTTTAATGTAGAAAATTTTACCATGGATTAAACGTGATGTTCTTAACCTTCCTCTTTGGAAGCTTGGATTACATCTTACCATTTTTAAACATCATACCTGCACATTCCCCTCCTGCCTTACAGGTAGAGCACGGGCATGCGTCACTGCATCTACAGGAATCGCCACATCCACAAGCGAGCCCAATCTTACAAATTCCATCAGGACAGGTCGCACTCTTTGCCGCTTAATTACAAATACAATGACACCATTAACATATATAGATCAGCTGTAGATTCATTTATTTATATCAACACAACTCGTTCCTGATCCTGTTTTAATATGATAATTAAAAAATATACCTCAGTTTGGGTCAACGGATGAATTTTAGATTTGAGTTTTTCTACAACTTACGGCAGCATGCGCAGTTGACCTTACATCCGGAGCATCTACAGCCAGAGGAACAGCAGTCCGATTCAGCACAGCAAGACCTACACCCTGAACACTTGGCACAGACTGTGGCATTGAGAAATATGAATTAATGAGAATATATGACTTCTGGTAACCTTACATTATAAAAAGACATTTTGGACATTTTGAAACCTCATTTTCTGAAATTTAGTAAATTGGGATTGAATTTCATACGCGGATGAATCATCCATATAATCAGTTGTGTATTGAGGTTTTATAATTAACTTTGGTCCATTCACAAAGAACTATCAATAGGGAATATCAATAATATTGATGATATGCAGAAATAGGATTGATGAGAAAGCATTGGAAAATGAACTCTTAAACTGTAAGTTACAGTATATTTGACGACATCTTTATTATTATTTAGGAAATCTTGAATAACTTATTTCAAAAGTTTCTCACAAATGTGAATTTTGGAGATATATTGAGATAGAACAAAATCTCTGTGGTTTGTAGTTAAACGGGAAAATCGATATAGAAAAATAGGGATGTCTACAACCACTATCTAAAAGTCCGTGCTACAACAGAATACAGACTTGAGCGTTGCCTTTGAAGAAACAAGGTTAAAGAACTTAAAAGATGGAAAAGTATGACACAGTAGGATAAATTGGAGGCTGCAAGAATCTGGCAGAAATCTCCAGTATTAGACAGAATAGCAGCAAAATTTGATAAAGTATTCTGGAATATTGTAGCATCAGATAGATATATATGTTTTAAGAGAAAACAAAACATCAAATAGGAAGCCATTTACACTATCAACTACTTGGTGCAACATAGCCACCAAAGTAATAACTGAAAACCCATGTCATCAAACAGAAAACAAACATATCAGCGGGGTCTATCAAGGAAAGTCTATTTCTATGTAGATTCTAAGACGATGATGTATTTCTAGGGAAAGTTAGATAAGGTCACACCAGCTCCAATAGTCATGCAAAATACCGTTTAGTTACTTACCACATGCACAATTCACCTTACATCCGGGACATCTACAGCCAGTGGTACGGCAATCCGCAGCAGTGCAGCAGCACTTACCCCTTGGACACTTGGCACAGGCTGTGGATGTAAGGATTCGAATATATGTTCCTACATTATAAATGTTCTCTATGTAGCTATTGATTTCTTATCACACCTAATCAAAAAATGCTGGATTGAATTCACTACATAGATTAACGAACCATTTGTACATTTTTTTCCTATTTTTTTCTCTCCTTTTTTTCAAATAAAATAACAGAATAAATAATAACCGTTTCAGTGTTAGCCTCAATTGTAAATACC